CCAGATCCCGATCAACAAGAAGGTTGTGAATAGTTCATCACCTGGGACTCGTTCAAAAACTAGTGAAGGTCGTTCTAAGATACTCAGTTGTTTACTTTTCATTTATTTCTTTGATTTTCGTTTGTTCTTTTAGAATGGACATTCTCGTAACCCTATAGGATATTTTAAACTATTGTATAAGGAATGTAAACCCTAAACTCTATTATTTCGCTTTCGCATTTAATTCATAAGTTTATTTTCTTTTAACTTCCGGGCTTTTACATTATCATCCTATCCTGCTATCACGCTAATTGACTAATAAAATTTACAATTACATGATAATAAATAGTAGTAAAAAATATTAACACAATATAAACAAACGATAACAAAATATAATTAAAAAATGAAAAAATATTACCTACATATAACTGAAAGAAAGTGGTATCAATATAAATATTTTATGTTCAGTTAGTTAAGTTTTAATTTTATAGAGTAGAAATAAGAATGTAAAATAAATATAATAAAAAAATCAAATAACAATAATATTATAATTCAAATCAATTCTATTTTCAATTAAGTATATGTTCTCGTGTTCAATTTTTATTACATAAGAATATTAGTAAAATTGAATATATAAGTGAAGTTGATTTAGTCACTTTTAAAATATATAACTATTATTTTTTTCTATATATCAAAAATTAAAATCTAAAAATTAGATGAGAATATAATGAATTTAAACTAAATGCAAATCCAGAATCATTTAAAGAATTATTTGCATACACACAAATAAGCATATAACGGCAACAAAATCTTATCTAAATATATTTTAGTTTTTTCTCCAACAAATATCACATAATATTATCATAGCTCAAATTAAATAATCTATCATAAAATAATTCAATAAAATTTTTAATTTGTTGTGATTGAGAAATTGATCAATCTTGTTGAAAGATATTACCGAAACAAAGAAATACATGACTTCTAAATCAAGAATGATAAATTAAATTTAAATATAGTGAATTAAATGACTTTTGGTATCATCAAAAAGATCAAAACTACATTCGTGGACCAACAAGGATAGGTTGAATTATTGAAAGATAATGGAAAAGCAAGGCCACGTTAGAGCAAAGAAACTAGCAATAGATATGACTTGATTTTCTCACTCTTGCTCTTTCCCAAAATTATATCAAGTACAATTCAATTCTTTTTTTATTATCAATTTATAACGATAGTACCAGATAAAAAAAATTTAAAATTAATATTTATATTAAAAATAAATAAAATAATTTAATAGGCACAAATTCAGATATGACTTGATTTTCTCACTCTTGTTCTTTCCCAAAAATTATATCAAGTACAATTCAATTTTTTTTTATAAATTTATAACGATAGTACCAGATAAAAAAAATTAAAATTAATATTTATACTAAAAATAAATAAAATAATTTAATTGAAATAAATATTTTAAAGTAATTTAAATTATTAGAAAAATATTTAGAAAAAAACTATTTAAATAATTAAAATAACTAAATCTTTTGTACTTTTTTTATTACTTCAATATTCGTTATTAATTTTGAAACATAATTAACTAAATACTATATCACATTCTATATTAAATTGATTTTTACAACAAATTTTACTAAAACTGCAATCCTTCTAACTTTGAAGTTAATTTTTTAACTATTTAAAAATATTTTTATCAATTTATAACTGCCAAATAAACTTTCAACCCCTTCCCATAAAAAATCCCGCAAATAAAAGTCATTTCTATATTACACCAACATCCAAGTCCAATTCTGCAGCCTAATTAACATTAAAATGTAATACTTTTTTATTAGTTAGTTGAATATCATATTAAATATTATATAATATTAAAAAGATAAGAAATATGTATGCTGCCACGTAATGCAATACCAATATTCTTCAATCAAGATCTTCATGTCTGGTCTCTGAACCTCGACTTCCAGTGTTTGTGTCCGCATCGCTGCGCCAGTGCCACTGTTGCTAGTTTCTGCACCAGAACTGAATGACAACCTGAATGGCCACGGTAAAGAAATCCTAAAACTCCTCTCCACCGACCTGGGCGTTTCAGGGTTGTCTCTGTTACCGGAATTTCCATCCGCAGCAGCGTTGACAGAATCAGTAGAGCCCGTACCATTTTGAGTAGGAGTTCGATTGGCACGAGTGCGGTGCTCATAATCAGCATCATCAGTAGGCAATTCATAGCGACAAACCGGGCAAGAATTGTGCAATTCCAGCCAAGGGAGAATGCACTGAGAATGGTAGATGTGCTTACAAGGCATCTGCTTTGCCTCCTCGGTAAGCTCAAAACTATCCTTGCAAACCGCGCACTGAGAGGAGTCAGAATCCAGCATTTCTTGAGAAATTTTGATGGTAGGAAGAGCCTCTATCGCAGACTTGGAAGCTGGGGGGCGTACCATGGGGATTGGGATCATTCTCAGCGAGCTGTTGAATCAACTGCTCAAGACCAGGACCAAGGAAGTAATCCCCAAGGTTGAGGCTGCCAGTAAGACGAAAGGCACCGGACGGTCCGGATTCCCCAGGGGAATTGTTGTCAATCTCGAACTGGATGTTGGCGCCGTTGGCTCGTAGGGTTTGGGAATAATTCTGGAAAAAGAGAAACGGATTAAAGACTTCGGTGTCATTGGGACGAGCAGTGGCGGAGGGGGGGGTGGGAGGGGGGGGAACCATCTCGCAAAGAAAGTAGAGAGATCATCAGAAGGATGGGGAGAGTTGGGGGAGGACAGGAAAGTGAAGGGAAAATCGAAAGGGTTGAGGTTGAGAGTTTGTTGATTAGGGTTAGGGTTTTCGAGTTCTTCAAGAAATCCACCATTGCAGGTGGGACAAAGCAGATCGGAAGAAGGAGAAGGGGAAGGAGAGATCCTGACGGTTCGATTACACTGGTAGCAGAAATAGGGTTGGCCGGAGGAAGACATGTGAGCTGTTCGCCGATTGACTTGCACTGTAAAAGATTTAGATTCTTCTTGTGATTACACCACGAAGCGAAACAGGCGAGACGAAATGAGAGAGCCTTCCAACCAAGACATTGATCAAACAGAATTAGATTTTAAATTACTCGTATTTATAATTTTTTGCTGAAAATTACTCCTCTACATACATATATAGATATATATATATATAGATATATATACTCCTCTCTTATGCATTTTGCCTTTTTTTTCAAATTAATTAACCCATTTTCAAAAAAAGAAGTGACTTTTTTTATACTTTTATTAAAAATTATCTAATTGCCTTTACATATAGATATAAAAGTAAAATATTAATTTATTTTTCTAATTATTCATGCTAATTTATAATAAAAGATAAATTTTGTTTTTTATTACCTATGGCTACTGAAATACAGATACTTAAGAATCTAAAAAATCTAAAATTTAATTATATTATCTGAAGAAAGTGCCATAAAATCAAAAAAATCTTAAGGCTAATTACTTTGTTATACAAACTTAGATTTTTACCATAAAGAAGTAAAAGAAATAGATAAAAAAAATTAATTATCTTAATGTCAAAATAAGATGTCTACTTAATTCAAGTAAATTATATTCAAATTTAGTTTAATTTCTAAAATTTAATTATATAATATCTCTATTCTTTTATCGAATCATATTACTATTTGTTAAATAAGTGATAACAATAAATATCTTCATTTAAAGTTATCATGTTATTTTTATTAAATATAATATTTCGATTATATTTAATTTTTATTCTTATTTAATAATATGAAAGTTTGAAATATACTTGATTTTAGTTACGTTTGATTTTTAAAACAATTGAATAAAGTATAATAAGTTATACACAAGTAAAATTCTCACCTTAAGATATATTTTAAAACCACTTTATCAATTTCCTAATTCATATTAATAAAGATGAGAGACTAATGGTAAAGCAAAAAATGGAGAATGACAACAATGGTCATAGTGATAATAATAACAGTAATAATAATAAAAATTATTATAATAATAATATACTTTATTTTGGTTACTTTTGATTTTTAAACAATTGAATAAAATATAATAAGTTAAACGTGACTAAAATTCTCACCATACGATATATTTTGAAACCACTTGGTAAAGCATTAGTAGTAGAGGAAAAAAGAAAAAATATCTTATTATCAATTTCTTAGTTCATATTAATAAAGATGAGAGAGTAACTGTAGCACCCGGAAAGGAGGAGGGGGGGGCCACGTGGCAAGATCGCGTCACTCCGAAAGGAGCCACTTTGGCGATCCGCGTGGGTGCGATCCGACGACCCAGATCAATCGCGCGATCGGACGGTCCAGATTCAAACGCACGGACGACCCAGATTCAATCAAAAACGAACGG